CAGGGGTGGTGGTGGTCTGTGTTTTGTCTACTTTTAGACGATTGTACAGAGCTCAGGGATAGAGCTATATTATGTAAATACTATTTATTATAATAACGTTGCGCATTTAGTTTTCTGCCTTTCTAAAGTCATAGTAGGCTCTACGAGCAATATCTTAACCCTATCCGTACGCCCAGGGGTCATGATGTACCTCCTGGGTTGTATTCTTCGCATTTTAGAATACTTCTAGTACGAAGATCTCTTTGAAACTTTCGGTATTCTCAAAAAAAAATCATTTTGACAGACTGATATGCAAAGCGTACGGATCGGATTAACGATTAATTTTCCTCTTTGGAAAGTGGTTGAACAAAGTTCCCCACGTCGTATGGATACGATATCTGTGCCCCTACTTTCCAAAATTTACTCGTTAATCCGATCCGTCCACTTTGTATAGCATTCTATCAAATTTATTTGTTGAGAAATACGGAAATTTCCAACGAGTTCTTCGCACCAGAAGTATTCTAAAATGCGAAGAATACGACCCCGGGGGTACAAAATAACGCCAGCAGGGCGTACGCATAGGGTTAAATAACAGCATGCTCTCCACTGAATGAACCCTTTGTTTTCACCTGTTTTTGTAGAATCTTTTCTAGTAATGTATTATACTTCTGTTTTTGTCTCCCAGGTCGAGAAGGTAAGTCATGCAGCCAGCAGAAGATACTCGGAGACGTCTCCGGCGAGCACTCAGGAACTATTCGGAGACGCACTCCCGCACACAGATGCACAGCTTTTGGGTGGTCAAACTGCGTATTGTTTGCTGCAGATCACACGTGTTGCCACTTAAACTGTCGCAAATCAATTATTTTCAAGAAAATTTCAAACCGAACTGCAAGATATCAATTTATTGGTTAAAACAGGACCCCCCCCCCCCCCCGCCCCTGTTGTAACTCCCAGATTTTTTTACTTGGTCCAGAGGCACAAAGCATTTTGATTGGTCTATCTCCGTCGGAGACGTCTACGAATAGATACTGCGCATGCAGCCAGCGGCGGGCAGTGCCTTCCTGCGGAGTAAGTTTTTATGTGGTAGGTGGTATGTGGGAAGTGGAAGGTAAGCCCAACACTGAAAGTGAAGGAGGATAAGGGGCAAGAGACGACATGAAGAGAGTGTTTGTTTGTTTGTACTCGTACATTTGTTAATTTCTGTATATTTGTGTTTCTCTCTTTCTCTCTTTCTCTCTCTCTCTATCTCTCTCTCTCTCTCTCTCTCTCTCTCTCTCTCTC